CCCGGATGAGTCTACATTGAACCGACGGCCCACCAGGGCTACGGCTCGGGACAAGGCCAAACGACACCTAGAGTTAATGGAACGGTCGCTGCCCAAGCTAGCCCGAAAGCGACAGAAAATGACCGAACTAGCCCAGGGCCGACAGGTCCGGAGCTACGAGGCCCGAAATGGGAATGCGGGTCCGCGGCCCCAATACAAATTGGGGGACGTGGTGCAGGTGAGGAAATGTGCTCGCCAAGGTAAGCTCGCGCCACGATTTTTCGGGCGATATCGCGTGATCGAGCTCGGCCCCAATGACGTGGACACCGTGCGTCTCGCCCCTGAAGTCTCTGGCAGTCGATCGGCTCGTCTGATCACACGCCACGTGTCCTATCTTCGCCTTCTTCCCTCTGCTCCGTCTCCCTCTCCCTCGATCTCTCTTTCTGAGGAAGCGGACGACGACGGCTTTGACTCTTTGCCATCTCCCTCCCTTTCTTGCTCCCTCCCTGCCACCCCGTCACCCCCGCCATCGCCATGAGTTTCGCCATCGAGCGAGCTTTCAGTGATCAGTTGCTGATGCCACGGGGAGAGATCTCAGCCATCCGCCAAGTGCATCATCCGCGGATCAGCCCTGACTTCATGCGCCTTGCGCAGTTCTTCTGCACTCGGGTGTATACGGCGCGGCAGAGTTCCGATTCACGAGCAATCCCCAGGTAGTGGTGCTGGCCGAGGCAACGACGTTCCAACAGCGAGCGGCCCCGGGAATCAGCCATGTGTCTACCGTGGTAGTCTTCAGCGGCGACATCACCGCCTTCGATCCGGCGTGGCAAGCCGCCATCAAAAGCACCTCGTACCGGTGGGGTCGCGATCTGGCCACTGATTGGGATCGACGGCTCACAAGGCACGGTGACGAGTGCTATCCTGTCGACGGCATCAGTCAACACGCTGCGCACGACACTACGCGAGCCACCTGTCGTCCTCCCCGAACTTGCTCCCTTCCAGCCGCGCAGATGAGCCGCGCGCCGATCTCGACGTTCTCTCCTCCCTCTCTCTTCTCCATCTTCTGGCAGTCCTCTCACTACCATCGTCTCTCCTTCCGTCTGGAGCCACTGACAGCCCCCATCGTTGATTCGGACCGTTGGAGGCTGTGGCGTGCAGAATTTGTCGAGCTCTCATTTTGCCTGCTACGAGTGGATCTGAACTGGACGTGGGAAGGCGATCAGAGGCCCACGTCGGAAATTGTGGAGTTGCTCGTCATTCAGGCGTGGAAGACCAACGTGGTGGGAGATCTTCTGGGATTCGTCTTTGGAGCAGTGGATCGGGGAAACCGATCACAGATCGTGCACGAACTTACGATCGTGATCGCGCGACTGGCCGACGAACTCCCTCTCGACATCGTCTCTCAGAGCGACGAAGAACCCGTGCCACATACCCTCTCAAGGACTCTCGCCCCGAGCCTCCAGTGGTCGGCTTGTATCGAGGAGCGCTGGGCGGACAACCGTTTTCCCTCCCGTAGCGAGTACCTGGACGTCCACAGCATGAGTAATCCCCGCTTCTTTCGGCAACCAACGGCGTTCGAGTGGGCGGCGCTGAGAGCAGAAGAGGAGGCCGAAGAGGAATCGGAAGGAGAATTAAGGAGAGACGCCGGGGAAGCAGCGGCCCGATTGGCCGAGGAAGAGGAAGGAGAGCGCGAAGCAGAAGAAGAGTCGACAGAAGCTGAAGAAGAAGAAGAAGAAGAAGAAGAAGAAGAAGAAGAAGAAGAAGAAGAAGAAGAAGCAGAGGAGGAGACTTCGGAGGAAGAGGAAGAGGCCTATAACGAGTACAGCGAGGGCAAGCAAAGTAAGGAGGAGGACGAAGACGACGAAGAAGTGGAAAGCGGGGACGACCAGGAGCGAACGCACACCGAGCTCGAGTGGGTGCCAGGACCGGATCGGCGAGAGGAGAGCCCGGAGGCTGCTGCGCAGCGCAAGAAAGAGATCGCGGAAGGAAAGCGGCTGGCGATCGATCCCGCACCGAACGATCCTTTCAAGGATCCCGAGCCGCCCAAGCCGGAACATGGAGGCCTTGCTGCCACGACCTCGGGAGCCGCGACGACAAGGCGCCGATCCCGATCACGATCCACGTCCCCCTCCGCCTCCGCCCGTCCCCCAATTCGTCAACGTGTCAATGAGGGGCTTAACCCTTCGTCCCCGATCCATATACCACCATCCCCTTAGCTATCTCTCTTTCAATCAGTATTTCCATCGCGTCATCTACCCCCGTAATCCCTTTCCCATCGCCACCTTCCGACATTTCTACTCCGCCCGCCTAGAACTGACTGCCCACCCCCACCCTTTCGTTCGGTGTGCTGTCCCCGATTACTCCCTCCACGTTCTGCTCCTTACCGCCGCGTGGCGAGGCCGTAACCATATAGAGGTTTACTGCATCGTTACGGGGACCTTCCCCACGTGCGAGAACCATGATCGGTTCCACACAAACGTCCTCCGAACCCTCGTATCCCTTTACCCAGACTACCTCGCTTCCCTTCCCCGCAGCGGCCAGAGATTCCCCCGCTTCCATCGCATTGTCCGTTTTCAAGAACTTCCTTACGACCTCACTGCGATCGGGCGCTTCATACCCGAGCTTACGATGGAGCCGCCCCGCCGTCCTTCATACGTGTATCGCCTTCCCTTCCCCCTTCCAGTTAATTACTGATGCAGCGGTAATGGACGTGTATCGCGGCGATGGCACGAGAAAGATCCCGTCCTAGGATCGTCGAAGAGCCCAATCTGAGGAACTAGTAGAAGAGCAGAGTTGCCACATTGGATGACGTCCACACGCAATCGAACGGTAAGTGGCATACAGAGAATTGCTCCGCGTGTCGATCAATTAGAGAAATCGACATGTGTCAACAAGCAAGCAGGAGCTTGCTAATATTGGAACCCCCTGGGCGTCACATATGTGACGAACCACTTTCTATAACGTGCGATTTTCTGCGCGGTTGCAATGAGGGGTCCTAAGCTGGGAAGATTGGGCCAATTACGGGAGATCGGGATCGGTGGAGAATTGCATCGGTGTCCTCGCTTTTTCGTCATTTTTCGTCGTTTCTTTTTCGAATGGCCAAGCACGGGGTCGGGTGTGTCTTCGGACGGCCGGTGGATTGATTGGTCGGATGGTTGTTTGGCGCGATGCCACGCGCGCGCGATTAATAAATATCGACGTCGTTTCTTTCGGTTCAGTTTCGATCTTTTTGGGCGCCGACATCGCGCGGGAAATTGCTTCGTTCTTTTTTTTGAAATTCCTCTTGAATCTTTTTCGAATTTTGTCGAGCCCCCAATGGCTCTCGGAATTTCGGACTTTCCTTTTGGAATTCGTGCTTTTTGCTTTTTCGCATAAGATAGGAATTTAGGAATTCAGTAATTAGGAATTTTCCTGCCGCGCGGCGCCTTTTGTTTACGCGCTTCTTCATGCGGCTGCAACGGTACTCTGATTAGTGGGCGCCCTTAATCGTATGTGTAACTGTAATTTTGGGCGGGCGCCATTGTAACTGTATCTCTCTTCTTGCACTTCGTCTCTCCCGCCCTCCCTCTCTTTTCTTTTGCTGAAATTTTGTAAGTCGCGGCTTGCATGCTCGGATCGATGCGTGGAGAGGGGTTTCGTCCCCCACGCCGCGACCGATCATACAGAACGCAGGCGTTCCCTCTCTAATCTTCACTCTAAGTCTTGGTAACTCCGTGCTCTTCGCGCATGCATGCACGCTATAAATTTCGGTTGCGCGATTAGTCAGCTCTCTTAACCCGTTGTTGGAAGCTCAGGGTTGCTCGATCACGAAAGGTCGGCACACGAGCGAAGTAAGAGGTGAGTAGAGTAGGAGTTGGGCGACCCGACGGGCTGGTGCCGAACGCACGGGATTGACGTGGGCCACGACGGACTGTGGGCACGGGCGAATCCGACGGGTGCGGGAGGACTAAGCGGGGTGACAACTTCGTGGGTTGGTGCGTGACGACGAACTGTCCGCATCAGAGAGAGAGAGAGAGAGAGAAAGGAAGGAGAGTTGAGGTCGATGGATGCGGATTTGATGTTTCTTTGTCTCTTCCCCCTCTCTACCTGTGTACATACATTTTGATTGCGGCTCCGGGSGGTTTGCCCGTTCTTATTTTCGTTTCGACTTTCTRAAATTTGGGCTTGGATTTTTGCTCATATTTGTCTTYGCGATGTCCGTTTTTGCTTGCATTATGTGCGTGATGGTCAAATGTATGGATGAGGGGACTGCTTGTCTATCTTTTTGCTGAGAATCCCTGTCCTTGTGTTATGTCTGTGTCGAACCTTTGCCTGCGCCTGATGTCACAGTAGATGGGATAGGAATCTGGTCTCGATAGTGGGTTTGTTCTCGTTCTGCTTATCTCATGATGGGGATTGTGTTATGATTGCATCTTGCATAATCGACGATCCGAAATTTGGCCCCGTGAACATCGCACGAGACCACATGTAAACGAGATCCGAGTCGCRYCCTTACACGCATTCCCGTGCGTCGATTCGCCCGCCCAAACAGGACTCGCGGCGGAACCATTATCCCGCACGAGCACGCCGGGGCGCAACTAAGTTCGCCCCTCCGACACGTGCTCACGCGCGGTGACGATATCCCGACCCACGCTATTCCACCGACGATGAAACCATGATGTGATCTTGGGGCTAAGACTCATCCTATGACCCAGACTATTTCACCCCTATAATAAACGAGCTCATAAGGACACGATACCCCTGTCACACGGAGAATCGGCTATGTCCGCGGGAATTCCACTGTGCCACCACTAGCGACCCTAGGTGCTCCGATTTCCCTTACCCCGACCACACCTACTACTTCACCCACCCAGGATTCGTTGAGATCACCACCAGTTTCCCTCCTTTCCGCCTCCTTCTCCCATATCATCAACTCAGTGTMGTTCCGTGGCCGRCCATAGCCCCCTAATGGCCCAATAYGTTTTGCGTGAATTGCCRATGCAGCGGCACACCGAGCACTCCGGAATTCCGAAGGCCCAACCCAAATACGCAGCGGCCTGCGCCACGTGGCGGCCCCCGACGGCCTAACTTTCCGGGACCACCTCCACCACGGAGGAATTTTCCCGTAACCCGTCGTCCACAGTGTCCCGGTCCCKTGGGACTGTGAGACCCTTGCGTGCGCACCCCTCGCTCGCCTAATTGCATTCATATCCTTAAGACTCCCCCACTTCCCCCAAAAATCCTTGGCACACCCCTTTTCGCACTTCCAGGCCCACATCCCACTCCGATCAGGAAGTCGTGCCGGGCGTGAGGTTGGGCGCCACATGTGTGTTCTATGAATCAATGTATCGAGATGTATAGGCAGCATCATGTGTTTGTATCGAAGAGAGAACAGGGTAAGCTGGACTGTGACGCCCAACCTCACGCCCAGCGCGACTTCCTGTTCGGAGTGCGATGGGGGCCCGGAAGTGCGAAAAAGGGGTGTGCCAAGGATTTTAGGAAAGTGGGGGCGGAGTTCCAGGTCGGAACTGGAATCTCCTGTGTTGAGTTCCAGGGGTAGAAGTGCAAGTGTCTTCTGGCTCAGAGTTGAGACGATTGTCGATTGTGCAGCCTGGGCCGGGGTGGGGTGCTACGTGTGTCTCTGCGGGAGTGCTTGTACCGCTGCCGGCCGTCGCAAGTTTCGGGGTCCGACGAAGACGAGCTGGGTTCTCGTCGCTCTGTCCTGGGCTGGGTTCGTTGTGTGACCCTCGCCTGCCGATACTCGCCGGGCTACCGGCACTCTGAGCACGGCGGACGGGGCCAGACCCGGGCTATGGAATCCCAGGAAACCACGAGTAATCGGTAGTAGGGAAGGACGGTATAGTAGGGAGGGAAGTTGGTGGTGATGGCAACGAAGCCTGGGGTTAGAAGATATTGCTGGTTTCGACTGTTGGGATAATCGGGAATCCGCGGGTCTCGGTTGATTGCCAGCTGGAAGTCGCCCCTGCACAGTCGCTCGTTTTCAGTTCGGTAGGGGTACTCTAGGTGCCCAGGGCTCCGTAAGTGGCGATGTGGTCGGATCCGCTGCCGACGGATTTGTTCTCTCTCCCAATACGTTCGATATTCTGGGTCCCTCAGGCTTTCGCAATCGGTGATCCAGAAGGGGGATTCTATCGCCATGTCTCGTTCAGCCGAGTTCGTGCACACACCTCTTCCACAGGGTGAGATCGTAGCTGGCTTTTGCAGACGCGCGTGTAGATGGCAATCCCACGAACGGCTGCTGTCTTACACGTGCGTGCGCACCAGCCAGTTGATCAGATCCTAAATTGCACGAATAAACAAGGAGCGATCCGTCAACATACCGGTTCAACCATGCAGCTAGTTCCCTTAGACAATCAATCTCGTTCCCGTGGGTGAAAAGGACTATTGATCATTCACAAGCATACACACCCAACAGTTTCCGTAATCACTGATAAAAAAGACAACTCAAAAGAAAGGATACGAGATCATTCATCGTCATTCATACATACATACATACAGCAAAAGTCCGAGATGATTTACTCAAGAAATTCCAGAAATGCCGCGATAAAAATTGACCAACGTTGAAATCAAAATTTATACAGACAGTAGGGAGAATAGACACTATTCCACCATCTCTCTCTCTCTCTCTCTCTCTCTCTCTCTCTCTCTCTCTCTCTCTCTCTCTCTCTCTCTCTCTCTCTCTCTCTCTCTCTCTCTTGATGCGGGCAGTCCGTCGCCCCGGACCTCCAACATCCACCCGAGTCGTCACCCCGCTTGGCTTGAGTATGCAAGCCAGGTTCGCCCGCGTGCCACAATCCGTTGCGGCCACGCGTCAACCCCTCGCACTCAGCGCCAGCTCGTCGGATCGCCCGACTCTCTACTCACCGTCTTTCTGCTCGTTAGCCGATCCTCTCGACCGCGCTAACTCCCAAGTAGGTTAGAGAGACAACAAATCGCGTTTGCGGAATTTATAGCATGTATGCTTGCGCGAGGGATACGGGATTAACCCCAAGTGACGAGACAGAGAAGGGAGGGAGTGCCTACGTCTGCATGCCCAGGCCGCGGCGCGGGGGACGAAGCCACTCTCCGCGTATCGATCCGGGCATGCAACCGTGGGAACCACTCAGAAACAGAGGAAGACGGTACATGCGAAGACGAGGCGGGAAAGAAGGAAATACAAAAAACCGTCAAGAACAAGAAGATTACAGTTGCGATTGCGCCCGCCAAAAACCACAGTTACACACTGGATTAAGGCGCGGATAGATTCAGAGCCCAGACCCTGTCGGGTCACGGCGCGTGCAAGCAAGAAGC